GTAGATTCTTGCCCAGTATGAGGACATAATTTTCACAGCAAAGTAAAGGGAGAGCCTTTTGCTTCCTTAGCTGATTAAAACTACAGTCTGTTCAATTATCTGGGGCAAAGGAGAAAATATCTAGAAAAAAATACACACATTTGGCAATGAGAATACAACAGACCATTTGGTCTCCACAGAATTACCTTCTGAATTATATTTTACTTGGGCTAATATAAAAATTACTTTGCAGTCTTGAGCTTGCATGCTAAGAAATCAGGAGGCAGAATTCCCAAGGTATACTGCATTGTGAGTCAGTCTAGAATTTTAAATTGCCTTAGATGATCCAAAAGATGGATAATAGAGTAAAGGAAATGCAGAAGTGTTCTTCTTACAAAATATAAAAAAATCAGATTGATAGGTTCTATATTCCCTCAAACCAAAATTTCTAAAAGTCATGTTATGTTCCTAGGTGAAATCCAATACCACTCAGGCCCATGGAACTAACTAGGGATTTATGTAGCTTGAAGCATCATTGTTCATGAATGTTTGGGCAGAAAAAATATATATAATCTGGCATATTAAACATGTGGATATTTCCTTCCAAATACAGAGCACAGTGCCCTATAAAGATCAAGTTATTTTAAGGTATACAGAGGTTACAGTTTAGTCAGTGAACACTGAATACTGAGTCAATTGATTTATCATCAGTGCCTAGCTATGATTTACTATACAACTTCAGACAAGATCATCTCTGGATGCATAAGACGTTATGTTGAAAAACGAACTTTGCAACTTTGGCATGGGGGGGGGCGTGGAGGAGATGGGAAGGGATGGGAAGGTGGGAAGGGACGGTAAGGGGAAACAAAGGAGGAGGCAACAATGCTTGATCAGAAATGTACTCATTACCTTGCTCATGTAATTGTAACCTCTCTGTATGGTATTTTCACAATAAAAAAAAAGATCATCTCTGGAAGTTCAAGACATTTCTGGGCTTCCACTATGTACCAAACATTGTACATACACACACACACACACACACACACACATCTATCTAAAATCAAAATCAATATTTTTTCTGCTACTATGTGGTGTACTTCCTGGTCAAGAAATTGGGGCAAACGGGATAGTTTTTTAAACCAAATGTATTCACCTTTCCTCTTAGGTATAAAAATAAACTTAGAAGTGGTGCTGTGGCTCAAGTGGTAGAGAGCTTGCCTTGAGATGAAGAGCTGAGGGACAGCACCCAGGTTCAAGCCCCACGACTGACAAAAAACAAACAAACAACAAAAATAAACCAACTTCCCAGCTTTCATGTAATACCTTCTGATAGATAGAATGTGAACAGAAGAGAGTAAACTATTGCCAGGCCTGGATATGAATTAATGTGTAAAATCTCCTTTTTGGTTGGCAACATTCTTTCTCATTTCCTTCTTTTCCAGATACAGAGGACTCTGTGATCCCAGGAGTGAGGAGTCACAAGATAGAGAAGGATATGTGGCTACCTGCCCAAGCACTCCCCTGGAACTAGATTGTGAACAAGAAAGAGGCCTCCACGGTGTGAAGTGACTTAGACGTGAAGTTTCCCCAGCCAAAATATGAAACCAAACTACCTCCAAAACATGTGACAGACAGTACACGTGGGATGGCATGGAAATATCAAAAGGTGTTCGGCTCACATCTCCCAGCTGGGCTGCAAATGGATAGCACAAAGTGCTCCCCAGATATATAGAAAATACAGAAGAGGTGAAAGGAAGAGTTCAGTTTTTAAAAGCAAGAACTGAGATGGCAGTGGAGTATCCAAGGAAGAATCAACAAGCAGTTGGATACATGGACCTAGAGCTAGCTCACAGACATAGTGTACATGGAAAAGGGAGATTAGTGGGGGAAGCCACAGATATGCCTGGAGTTCTCAGGCAGAACATGCAGAGTCAGAAGCCAGAGAAACCCCAAAAGAAGAGATAAAGAAAAAGGAGGAAGGTCTATAGGGAGGGAAGAAAGAAGGGAGAGGGAGGGAGAAAGGGAAAAGAAGGGAAGGAGGAGAGCACAAATATGAAAAAGTCATAGGAGCCAAAGAGAAGACATGGAAAAGCAAGCAATAGTGACAAGTAATTCAAAGACATGACATAAGATAATGTTCTGAAAGCCCACTGTATCTGAACAGCTAGGCAGCTGTTTGTGACCTTAACAAGTTTATTTTCAGGACTGGCAAAAGCCACATTAATCTACATTGAGATCTGAGGATAGCAGTTCAAAGCCAGCCCAGGCAAGAAAGTCCATGAGACTCTTTTTTTTTGGGGGGGGGGTTCCGGTCGTAGGGCCTGAACTCTGGGCCTGGGCGCTGTCCCTCAGCTCTTTAGCTCAAGGCTAGCGCTCTATCACTTGAGCCACAGTGCCACTTCCGGCTTTTTTCTTTTTGCTTATGTGGTGCTGAGGAATCAAACCCAGGGCCTCAGGCATGCGCGGCATGCGCTCTACCACTGAGCCACCTTCCTAGCCCTCCATGAGACTCTTATCTCCAATTAACCAACTACCAAAAACTTTGTGGCTCAAAGTGGTAAAGCACTAGCCTTGAGCAGAAGAACACAGGAACAGTTCAAGCCCCATGACCAACCAAAAAAAAAAAAACAACAGTCCACAGATGGGGACATGGCTCAAGTGCAGAGTGCCTGCCTAGCAAATCAAGGCCTTGAGTTCAAAATGCAGCGTGGAAAAAAAATCTGTAAAGTGAATGATGGAAATGAAGAATGTGGAATCAGAGGGTATAATATGGAAATATACTTAAGGAAACGATTCTAAAACCAGTAAGTAGTTAGAGAACAACGAGACTTTTTCATTTCTCAGGATGCAAGTCTTTTAAACATGTGTGGGTATCTGATTTGCTAATGTTTACTTTCCCTACCTGTAAAATGGGTCTAATCCTGACCCTTCCGGTTGCTGTCACAAAAGGGCCTATGGTACTGGGCGAAGGCCAATGTCATTTTACATCCATAAATGTTGTTGAGAGTGGCGTTATAAAGTTAACAGTCCAGTGAAATACAATTAGTCGTAAAATTGGTTTTTTAAAAAAGTACTATCAGTCTAGATGCAGAAATATAAAGAATGAATTCTTTCTACACACTACCAGTTGCTGACTTCAAACCTAAGAGACTAAGAGTATGCTGAAGTCCAATGTTAGGTAATTCCTACTCTTAGGCGGCAGCCTGGGTTTCTAGATGTCTTTGTCATGCCAGCAAAACGAAACAAAACAAAAAAAAAGGCCAATGAACCCTGGCAGATCACTGTGCATTAAATCATCTGGAAATGTATTAGCATTATGAATAGTAGTTCTTAAATAAAGATTTCTGGAAACTTCCCACTTTCACAAAGCAACAGACAAGTTCCATAATTTAAGCCTCATGACCAGTGAAATCATAGCAAAAGGCCACAGCAGCTTGCTGAATATTTTATTCCAAGGGGGTGGCTGAGGTATTCTGGGAAATAAGCTAGCCATTTGAGAATTTCTCTCCTGGGAAGATTAACCATCTAGAAGGATATGATCCAAACATTATTTCACTAGTCACAAAACTAAAAATCTTTTACAAAGAACATTATTTTTAGCACTATGATACCAGTGTAACTAAATTTTTCTCTCATAAAACTCCTAACAAGTGGTTCTAACATGGCCTACCTTCCTCCCTGGGAAGACATTTAATCCTATCTTTGGCATTGCTAGATGCTCTTTTCTGACTGGATTTCCTAGTTGTTCATCTTACATCTCTTCCTCAGTGACTTTATTTGGAGGGGTGTAGTGTAGAGCTCTAATTAAGCTTACACAGCTGTGTCTTCAGCTCCAAACAGCAATTGTGAAACACAAAATTTCCTTTATAGTCAATCTAAAACTCTAGTCCCCAGAGCCAAGTAAACCATATCTACCATCATTTATTCATGGTTCTGAAAATCTCAAACTGTTTTTAAAGATAGTATTTCTTTGAACTATGTTTTCTCAAATATTTCATCATTAATGTGCAACACTTCGTAGCTAGCTAGTAAACTAGACAAAATATCTATATATCATTTTAGAATGTTTATCCACAACAACACTGAATTTCTTTCTAGGACCGAGGTTTTAATAAAGCACCTTGGCATGGCACAGTAGTTTGCACCTCCTGTCTCAGCTACTGGGGAGATTGAGGCTGAAAAAATCACTGAGGAGTTCAAGGCTAACCTGGGCAATGTAGTAAAACTCCATTTCAAGGGGGGAAAATCATGAGTAGGCCTTCCTAGGACATGAAAAAAATGAGGGTGACACTGATCAAAATACATTGTACACGTAAATTGACATTGAATTGAAACCCTTCTTATATCTATTAAAAGAAACTAAAAAAGTTAAACTCCAAAAAAATGAAAACAATAAAATAAATCAAACATTTTGGCACTGCTTTACAAGGATTGTAAAGAAAAACAATGTCCTATCGCTATCCTCCGGTATCACCACCCAGCATTTATGCCAAGCTGTAGACCTGGACAGATAACCAAACAATCTTTTATAAGTTTTACTTCATTTAATATTAAAAGAGCTTTCTTCAGTTTATACTTTATCATCACTTGTTAATACAGGAGGATTATTAGTTCCAGGGAAGTTTAAGAGACATTTAAGTTGTTCAGGAGGAGACCTAGTCAGTCTATATTAAAGATTCTCTAGTTTCCCAATTCTTCCATGAAACCAAGGATGCCCCCCTCCATCATGTTTCCCACTCTATTTTTCACTACTCAAGCCCAGCTTCCTCTGAAGTCATTAGGAGCTTCTGATGAAACACAGACATGAGCTCAGTTCTCCCTCCAATGAAAATACACAATAATTGGTTATAGAAGGAATGTTATGGGATCATTGTGACTTTGGAAAGCCTTTTGGAGGAATGCATAAATGATGCTTGGAATCCTGAATTGGCCAAAGAAGATATCACAAACACACGACCAGATGTGGAATTGGAGGACATTCCATGAATGATCTGTATTTCCAACAAACAGGGTAAACCAACCTGTAGACGGAGAAGGAAGCCACTGATCGAATGAGGGAGGCCAAAGCCCCCACTTTGGCAGCTTCCACCGCCCCGTGGATTCGGTATTGCACAGTTATGGCATAGCTGATGAAAGGTTGGTTAAAAACAACAATCTTCCCCTTTGCTTCTGGGGACCTTCTCTGAAGCTCATCAAAAGAAGTCACCACCAAAACTTCTGCTGTAATACCTGGAAAAAAAAGTCAAACAAAAATTAACAAAATTTCCCATCAGTGGGGGGTGGGGGGGATGAAGAGGGGGATTGACACACAAAAGGTCACACATACTTGTGGGGTCTTTCTGACCCCAGGAGAAAAATCGTGGGGTTAGCCAGTTTTCCAAGAGAGAGAAATGCATTCAAAAAGATATAACATATCACTCAAGATTTTCAGCGCAGATGGTCAGCTGGTATGAAATCACAAACTGCCTGAAGATAAAGCTTTTACTCCCTCTCCCCTCTTTCCTACCCTTAGAAATCATGCATTTCACAAAATGACACTGATAATTTATTTTTAAAATTGCATTTGAGAAAACCCCTCTTGGGATTTACAAAACACATTTATCTTTTTAATAACACAAGTTTGATAGGATGCTAAACAACCTTCAATGACATCAAAGATGGCAACTTGGAAGGAATACTCCTAGAATTCAATGTTCTTCATAAACTCAACATTTAACAAATGTTTAATGCACCTTCTCCTACAGGCCACAAAAGGTCAGCTTCTTGCTTCCCTCCTCTGTATAAAAACCCTCCTAAAGGATATGGAAATGCCCGATGCTTCATCACTTACAGTACTTGCTCATCACCAGGCACATAACAACTCTTTGAATAAAAATTTTGATTTTTTTTCCAAAATTTTTTTTATCCAAATGGAAGCATAGAATTCCAGTGTGGTGTATATGTGTGTGTGTGTGTGTGTGTGTGTGTGTGTGTGTGTGTGCGCGCGCGCGTGCGCGCATGCCCGTACGCCCGCGCCTAGGATATTCCCAGTAGATGAGCAGAATAGCTCAATAGCTACGTACATAAGACCATGTAAGATGATGCTAAGCAAAATGAAATCCAAGGCATGGACATAAGAAGTTTTATTTGTTGTTGTTGTTTTTAATGTACTATGTGATTTGTTTTTTCCCACTATGGTTTATCCCCTGTTGTCACCTGGGCATGGTATATACGTTTATCTCAATTAGGAAAAGGAAGAGCAATGTCAAAATGATGAGACAAAGGACAAAGGGGGAACCAATACAACAGCGATACTCAAGACAATGTGTTGGAAATGATCTGTACAACTAGGGGGGAGGGGACAAGGGAGAGGAAAAATGGGAGAAAAATGAGGGAGGGAATAACAAGTTTGACAAGAAACATACTCACTACCTTACTTATGTAATTGTAACCCCTCTGTACATCACCTTGACAATAAAATTTTTAAAAATTGGAATGTGTGTGTCCTAGAACCTTGGGTCTTCCCACCTTCCTCATATCCCTTGCCTATAGCTTCCTGACTATGGAAGAGAGTTTCATATCTCCCTAGAGTACCTCAAGACTTGCCAAACCACAGAAGATGCCACTTAAAAGAGCAGCCAGAGTGATAAATAAAAAATCCTTACCAACAAAGGCTAATATAATGTAATGGCTAAATTGAACTTTTTAGAAAGAAGTGGTAGATGCCTACCACTTTGTGAATTTTAGCAGTGCACTCTTGAAATATGTCAGTAAAATCAGAACCATCAACCTATATTTATCATACTTTTCTGGAAAGCTGAAATGTTAACTGTTCATTGTAAAATGCTTTTTTAAAAAATACATTTGTACTGTGAAAATACTGTACAGAGGGGTTACAGTTACATGAGCAAGGTAATGAGTGCATTTCTTATCAAGCATTGTTGCCTCTTCCTTTGTTTTCCCCCTACCATCCCTCCCACCTCCACAACTACACTCCCACCCCCTTTCTCCCTCCCCTTTCTCCCCACCTCCCCCCTCTCTGCCTGCCTAAATTGTAAAGTTCATTTTTTTACATAGTGTCTTGTACATCTCATTGTTACAATGGGTCCCCTATTTAAACATTTTGTTTTTTCCCTTCCCCTTCCCAAACTAAACCAACATCAAATACATACAAAACGACAAAAAAAAAATCACATGGTACCTTATAAATACATTAGAAACAATAGCAAGAAAGAAAAAACCACTTATGTCCCTATCTTGGGGTTCATTTCACTTAACTTCATCTTATCTGGTCATATGGACATAGCTTTTGACCTTTTCTACTTGTCCCAGACATATACTAGTTATTGAAAATAAAAGAAACCATGGGGACTTATGTTTCTTTGGGCCTGTCTTACTTCACTTAATAAAAATATAATTTATACTAAAATATAAATTCTAGAGAATTGTTGTATTCAGTATAAGCCTCCTCATAGTGGACCATTTGAAGTGATTCCTCTCCTACTTCAGTTTTATCTTCAAGCTTGCTTTTGTACTTTTACTTTAAAATAATTAGCTAGCGATCTATATGCATGTCTCCACCAATACTCAGAACTTCGTTTATAATCTAGTTTATAAACTAAAAAGCAGCAGTGTAAAGAAAGTAAGGGAATCACCAGCTTTTTCACATGATAAATATGCATAAAAGTACTCATAAGGATTCAGCTAGACAGATTTTGAGGTTTATAACTTTGGGAAACCTTGAGTTACCTTGAAATCTGCCTGGCGTTATTGTTGGCATAGCACAGGAATTTTGCTGATGGTTTTCAGCTGTTCCTAATGAATAACAGGTTCAATGGTCCACCCATGGGATGTCCCAGCAATGGGGTAATTTTGGTGTCTGGATGAGAGCCACTAGGAATGAAGCCAAATTTCTATAAATTTTTGAAATTAAAATCATACAAGGGTGGTACTTTTCTATGGTCTAGTCTTCAAATTCTTTTAACAAATAAAAGAGTAGAGTCCTCAAGAGCCGAAACCTAACCCAGACAGCACAGGTGCCAACACAACTCACTAGTCACAGTTATAGGTCAAGGCCCATCACCATGTACTTGGGAGAATTTGAATTAATCTGTTTTCCTGAAAGCTGGGCATCATCTCTACTTCCTCTGTCGCCTCCATCCTCTATATTCAATTAACAGTGCATATTTCCAAAGACTTTGCTTATTTCTAGATCATACTAATTGATAATATTAAGAACCATATTTAACTGTCTTGTTGTTTTCACAAATGCTCACAGTAGCTCGACAAAGTAGTTTATGAGGACAATGAGGTAGCAATAACTGTGTTTACACAAATACTAGGTATTGGAGCTGAGATGTGAATTTGACCCTTGTCTGAATCCAGAGGGTCTTGCTTTTCCAATTGTCTACACTGTTATCTTCTCTAATAAATGAAAAGCTCAGTATATATTCCTTAGAATATACTGAGGAATGAAAGGAGGGAAGAAATGGCTATATAAAGGTCTGCCTTGGTTGCTATCTGTTATTTTCTAGGATACTGCTGATCAGAGTGGCCAGGAAAGGTGGCTCATGCCTGTAATCTCAATTATAAAGAAGCACATGAGTAAGAGAATGGAGTTCATTTGAGTTTCAATAGGCAAAAATGCAAGATTCTGCCCCCCAAAATATAAATAATTAAAGCAAAAGAATAGGTCAAGAATAGAAATCTTGCCTAGCAAGTGAGAGTCTCTAAGTTCAAAACCCAGTACTACCAAAAAGCCAGAGTATGGCTATTACTCTAGGCTTCGGCCCATTAATAATAGAGTTGGAAGGCAAACTTCACTGCAAGACAGATTCATTAGACTCTGTATGATGAAAAGGATTATAGTGCTTAATCTCTGAGGAGACTATAGGAATGAAGCTAGAAAGGTACTCATAGGATGATGCACTTAGCTACAACCTATTTGCACAAAGTGCAAAAAATCCCAGGTTCCTTTTTATCCTGCACATCTCATTTTTTGAACTTATTGATTCCTTTTTAAGCCAAGTACTGTGTGGTTATTGCTAGCATCTCCCTGCAGAGCAACTGCTGCTGACCACTATGGTGTTGGTTTGGGTCACTTATTCTATGAGACTTCGACAGAGAGCCACTCTCCAATTTCTCCCACTCCATTCTTTCAAGGACAGGTAAGAATTTGTTACAAATCAGATTTTTTGTGACGTTTCTTTCCATTTAAAGTAAGACTGCACACAAAAATGTGTCTCTAGAGGTTCAATTTAATGTGGTTGGTATGTTTTAGGAAATAGATTATAATTTCAGAAGGCTGAACTCTGAACAGAAAATAGTCTAGCCCTAGTCAAAAAGAAGCTTTGCTTCTTTATCAAATAATCTCCCATTGGGTATGTTGCCCAAGATAACTCCATCTCTGGTATGGCTGCCAGTTCCTGAGCTCAGAGTTAGGGGAAAGGAAAACACAGTTGTTCTTGGAAATTCAGTGTTGGGGACCAGAAGAAGTAATGAAGTTGCAACTTCACTCAAAGCAGATAAAAGGACATCATAGCAGTCAGTCCTTGCTGAGGTCCATTTATTTACAGAGTTTGGTGATCTTGCAACAGGCTTCTCATGGAAGAGTCTTTTTCTCCTGTTATTTTCATAAGTTTGTTCCTACTAGGTCAAGATTTTATGCTCAGCATTGGGAATAATAGGAACATGAGCACATTCTAGCTTCATCCTTAAGAACTGCATAATCATACAATAAACAATAAGTTTCAAAAGAACACAAAATGGGGCCAGGAACTGGTGGCTCATGCCTACAATCCTAGCTACTCAGGAGGCTAAGATCTGAAGAACACTGTTTGAAGCCAGCCTGAGCAGGAAAGCCTCTTATCTCCAATTAACCACAAAAGAGCCAAAAGTGGAGTTGTGGCCCAAGTAGTAAAGCACTAGCCTTGAACAAAGAAGCTAAGGGACAGTGCTAGGCTGTGATTTCAAGCTCCAAGACTGGCACCAAAAATAGAAATAAACAAACAAACAAACAAAAAACACAGACTGTCACAAGTGTTAAAAGTATAAAGTAAAACTTAGTATAAAGTATATAGAAACACAGACTGTCACAAGTGTTAAAAGTATAAAGTAAAACTTAGTATAAAGTATATAGTATATATAAAAGTATAAAGTAAAACGCAAGAGTGCATATAAATTAAGGAGTCTAGAAAGTTGCCTATATGAAGAAATAAATGGGCTTTAGAAGATTCTAGCTGCCCCCAAAC